ATTAGCTTTTTAAATACCAAATTCGTAACAATATATTTAAAATCAATTTTTTTCTAAATATTTATTAATAAACCATGCATTAGACATAAAACACAATCTTTTATTTACTTTCAGTTTAATTTATTTAAAATTCGGATATAATCGTACTTAAATTAAGTACATATCAACTTTTTTAAAAAGGTTAACTTGCCTTTCTACTAAAAATTTAATAGTTTTTCGTAAAATTTTCAATCAAAAACAATATTTGATCAACGAAATAGTTTATTAACTTCTTTTCTTTGACTACGATCTACAAATAACAACCACATAAAAAATCCATTGTTTAGTAATAAAACATGTATTAATTAACATAGCTTTTAATAGCTCGCATCCAAATTGAGGATATAAACTTCCAGAATGAATTTTTAATGGTTTAAACTATGTTCCTGTAATTTCTATTTGTTTCATATTGGAGAAATAAGTCCAGAAAATGAATTTGGGTATCTAATTATATATTTTGCTAAGCTATTCTTATAAGAAATCAGCTTGAATAAACCCCAAATTCTTACGTCCGTTGTAGTTATTTCAAAATATATAAACAGTTCTTTAAAATTCTTTCTTAAATAATTACTTTTTTGTATCATAAAGTGAACTACTTGCAGTAAAGAAAGAAGATGCAGTATATATCCGGTTTTAACGAAAGTTTTCCACAACTGCAAATACCGTCTGCGCAAACAGTTAAAGTTGGCGTGTTTAATCATATTTTGTCAAACAGTTTTTGACATTTTAAAAAAAGAGACTTGCTTTAGAACAATGTGTTGTGAAATTTGTAAAAAATATCGTTATCATTAAGTACAGGGTGCCTGAAATGGAACGATCACGCTACCACATTAGAACTATCTTCACTTCCAATTCTGTTGCAAGAAGTCACACTACAAGATGTCACCAAATCATGTGTATAGCTTTAGGTACTAATATGACACTGTGAAGGTTTGGCACCGAAAATTCAAAAACAAGGATTCTGACGTTCAAGTAGCAGAGCCCTCTGGCCAGCCTACTGATGTTGATGAGGTCCGCCTGCGAGAAATTGTGGAAGAAGATCAGTATGCAACCACTCGAGAGCTTGCTAAGGAGTTAGATGTTAGTACCATGTCCATTAGTCATACTATGCATCGCAGAAACTTGACGTACAAGTTCAATCGCTGGGATAACAGATAAGGACAGACGAGTTCAGGCTTGCACTATTCTGCTCGAATATCAACACAAGGCAAAATTATGGACTGGATCATTACTTGTGAGGAAAAATGAATTTACTTCAACAACACAAGCTTAGTCTGAACCCTGTGATCTCATCGTCATCGTCGCAAAGCTCAATTTGACTAACAAAAAGATCATGCTTTGCATCAGGTGGCATTGCCGTGTTAATATCCATAAAGAATATCTGGAAAAAGGTAAAACCCTCGACAGTAAGGTGTACAACGAGATGCTAGTCCATGTTGACGTTGCTGTCAAGCGACAACGTCGAACTGAGTTCCGGAGCAAAAAGGTAACGTTCCATCAAGATAATACAAGACCACATGTGTCTGCATTCATCATCTGGACTCTGTACGGACTCAAATGGGATCTTTTGCCACACCCACCATATAATTCTGTACAGAAGGTTGCCTTCTATATTCATTATACGTAGGTAAGTTGAAAAATAAGTTTCCCCTGTCGACTGTGGTCAGAGTTGTGTATGAAAGTCAAAAAATAGAATGAGACATTAAAGATATGACATACCTTTATTTTATTATTCTCGTACGAGTACGTTGAGACATTTGTCATATCGCTTGATAAGCTTCAAAAAGTCCTCCAAGAAAAATTCACGCTTTGCTTTGGAAGAAGCGTTGAACGGTTTCCATATGGAATGCTTTGCATATGGAAGAAGCGTTGAAAAAGCGGCTTGGCCTTCTCACATCTGGCGTTCTGCTGTTGGATGACAATGCCAGACCACATTCGGCGACGGCAACGCAAAACCATATTGCAACTCTTGGTTGGGAGCGCCTACACCATCCGCCATACAGTCCTGATCTCGCACCTAGCAACTTCCATCTGTTTCCGGCTTTGAAGAAAAATCTCGGAAGGCGCTTTGGAAGCAATACTGAAGTGAAACAAGCCGTTCAACGCTTCTTCCATATGCAAAGCCCTGATTTTTTCCTGGAGGGCTTTTTGAAGCTTATCAAGCGATATGACAAATGTCTCAATGTACTTGGTACCTACGTGGAAAAATAAAGGTATGTCATATCTTTAATGCCTCATTCTATTTTTTGACTTTCATACACAACTCTGACCACAGTCGACAGGGGAAACTTATTTTTCAACTTACCCTCGTACATGAAAATTTCTGCTAGCGTTTAATGTATCTGATTTCAGTTTGGATGTATATTGGGAGAAAAGGAATCAGGGTGCAAAATGAGAGAGTCATTTTTTTAATTTAAATCAAGAAAATATCACTTATTCATGAAATTTTGAGGAACTTTGAAATTTCAGGGCTAAACCCGTTACGCTCGGAGGGTTAAAGCCCCGATATCGCTAATTCGGACTTCCACATTTTTTTCACACTTGCAGTTCCATCTTGCTGGTGCTATCTTCCATTCCGCACAGAACCTCCGAAATAAGGTTGATCTAATTTTGGATTTGCGGCCTCCAAGTTTCTGGGCCTAAAGGCTTTGAAAAACTACCAAAATGTTGGCAGAAAAATCATAGATTTGGGTAGTGATTACTATCCATACTAAAAGTATTGCTTTTCCCCCTAACTTTATTAAGAACATCTTTTGGCTGAAAACTTTTGTTAAGCCAGATAGATCATAATCTATTAAATCTTTTTAATTATGAAAATATTTTATTGTAAATTTCAAAATCTTAGTCAATAGCATTTTAACATTTCAAACATTATTATCTAAAAACCGATAGGTTTGGAGAAATTTCTTTATGTGTTTTAATTCATAATCTTTTGTGCTGTATAACAATTAGCAAACAAAAATGGAAGTTGTATTATAATTGGGGAAAATATAGAGATTAATGAATAAGAAAATTTATTTTCTAAACAAAACAAGCATCTTCATTTATTATAGCACTGGTTTTTTTCTTCATGTACATGAAATAAGTTTAAGAAGTAAGTATAAGTAAAGAAAGTATCAGTTTGAGTCGTCTCTTTTTAGGATCATTAAGCAATAAAATGTTTAAGACACAATAACACGCTGAACAAATACTACTTCAGAAGTCAAACAATAAAAATCAGCGTTATATTTTCAAATTTTCACAGGACTAGTTTCGATGGTTTTACCGAACCACCATCCTCAGCTGCAAAAGCGCAAATAAACGAGATAGGATATAATGATTAGATAAGGTAAGAAAGCCTGGACAGAAAATAAGCTAGTGGCGCCATCTGTAGAGGAAACCAGAACTAAAACATAATTACTTTAAAGGCCGAAGGCAAAGATGGATTGGAATTAGGATCGTTAACTAGAACAGAAAGATTTTTTTGAATGTACCTCTAGAAAATCCAGTTCTCCAATGGAAGAATTTTTTTTGAATAATTTTGACAGCAGAAACATTGAAAGTGGGATTTTCGGACCAACAATATTGGGCAACAGAAGACTTCTGTGTTTCCTTTTTTCTAGCATATGCCTCATGTTCCTTGACGCGAAATTTTAAGGCTCTCTTAGTTTGGCCAATGTGAATTAAGCCACACTGGCAAGGAATCAATTTCACCCAACATTATTAATCAAGCAGTTAAAAAATTCTCATCTCAACGCACTAAAAGGCACACTCTTGTTTTAGGAGATATAAAAATTATGTTGTCATTGCCTTCTTTCCATCAATTAGCTATAAAGTTGCACATATTTTGCAGAAATTTAACTTTCGTGTCGTTTATTCTCCCATCAATAAAATTCCGATTTCCAAACTCAAGGACCCCATTCCGGATATGTATTCGGAATTATATTCGGGGTATTCATAGGATTCCTTGCCAGTGTGGTTTAATTCACATTGGCCAAACTAAAAGAGCCTTAAAATTTCGCGTCAAGGAACATGAGGCATATGTTAGAAAAAAGGAAACACAGAAGTCTTCTGTTGCCCAACATTGTTGGTCCGAAAATCACACTTTCAATTTTTATGCTGCCAAAATTATTCAAAAAAACAACTTCCATTGGAGAACTGGATTTTCTAGAGGCATTCTACATTCAAAAAAGTCTTTCTGTTCTAGTTAACGATCCTAATTCCAATCCATTTTTACCTTCGGCCTTTAAAGTAATTATGTTTCAGTTCTGGTTTCTTCAACAGATGGCGCCACTAGCTTATTTTCTGTCCAGACTTTCTTGTCTTATCTAATCATTATATCCTATCTCTTTCGTCTGCACTTTTGTAGCTGAGAATGGTGGTTCGGTAAAACCATCGAAACTAGTCCTGTGAAAATTTGAAAATATAACTCTGATTTTTGTTGTTTGACTTCTGAATTAATAAAATGCTTGCTTAAAACTAATAAAACAGAGAATTGATAACTCGATATTCTTGTGAATGGCACTATTGGAAAAATGTATTTAAAATTTGTATAATGTAAATTTTCGAAGACATTAAATAATTTTAATTCAAAATTTAGAAGAAGCTGTTTTATAAACTTAGAATTTCAGAAAATTTTTGTGATAAAATTGTTTTTGAAATTTTTATTAGTTTCTATAAAATTAATAGCACTATTCTTTTAATTTATATAAAGTCATCCTTAACTCTGAAAGAAACGTTTATAGTTTTAGAGGTTCTTTAGTCCGGGCTTTGTCCCTAAGGAACTATTGTTTTCCATTGGATGTTTTTAATAACTGGAAAGGAGCACAAAAAAACTTCATAGCTTTTAATGTAGAATATCTAATTGAGTATGATAGTTATGATTAACTAGTCTTAGTACGGTCTTCGAAAATACATATTATGTTTTAGCGCTAATGAAGAAAAATAACAATATGATGCAGAAAGAAACTAAAGTAACTTACCTGTTTATGCTTTGTAATTCCAAATAAGACAATTCCAAAATGCTTATAAAGATGTATAGGCACTCAAACAGCCGAGAGCACTTCAGAGCACAAAGTAGTACAAACTATAATTCTCTACACATCTGGAGAAAACGTATTTTCCTGCTTTCAGTTTCAGATGGCGTCAAAGTAAATGTTATGATTAACTTCAATTTACCGTTCATAGTGTACAGCTGTTCCCTTTTGTTTATATTTGATTTCAAATATATGAGTTCATGGCGGAATACCAATATTTACAGAATATTATGGCTTAACTGAAATCTTTCTAAGTAAGATACTCAGAGATGTAGCAACAAATAAAGAACTATTTTTATTGATAGATTTAAATAAATATTGCTTGGTTTGGCTGCAAATTTTGTCATTTCTAGAAAGGCCGATTGCGTTGATTTTGACCTGAAGATTACTCAGGTCAGAGCCTGAGCCTTGTTTCATATTTTTTAATCTTAAATAACAAACAATTCAATACACACTAATATTGAAATATGTAAAAACAGAACAAACAGTTTCTGTCAAATACTTGTAGATTTCTCCTTTTATTTCATGGTAGCAAACGAAAAAAGTGAAAGAAAATATCCCGCTTTGCGTTAAATTTCTTATAAATTGAATGTCCTTCGCGATATGGAATTCTAAGATGAGACATGGTGTCTTTGTTTTAAACATCAGGGAAAAAACGGTTTCCGAATAATTATGGACAGATTTATAAATAATAACTGCAATATAAATATAAATAATAACTATTTATAAGTAATACTGAGAGTCTATGAGTTTCTCGTGTAGAATCATGAGATATTTCTTGGAAAATCAGCAGTGCATCACTGGAAATAGAATCCGAAATCTTCCAGTTTGCTAAATAGATGTCATGAATACCATGCCATAAAAGTATATGGAGGAATTCCTTTAATTCCTCATACTCATAATAAGTTTTCAGCACTAGAGGGGCTATTCTCGTTCATCACCTTTTTTGTCTATACCATTTTTGTGTTCCTATCACTTTTCAAATAAAAGCATGTAGCCAACAAAAGTTATCTCATATATTATTCTTAAAGAAATAATATAAAGAACATAAAAAATTGTATGGCAGCACAAATAAAAAGGCATTTCAATCAAATGTAAAGGCTTGGAAAAAGTAAAGAATGTGTGGCAATGTGTAACACTCAGTTGGGAATTCTAAAAAAATTCTGCTTTAAAAAAAATAAATAATAAATAAATAAAAATAAAAATTGGGATTACACTGTTGAATTTTATGTGGCGCAAGTAAGAAGAAAGCGATGTTTAATAATTAAATTAAAAGTTTAAAAAAAATGCTGTGTTAGCAGAAGTGAGTCAAAGAACAGATTCGTTAACTGCAAGCTCAACGAAAGCATTAAAAAAACTTTAGCAAACTCTCTGGTGAGATGGTAAAATCTGAATCCTTTCAGATTTTCTTTTTGTACCCCTGCATCACAAAATAATAACGAAATCTTGAGGGTTAGCTTATGCAGACAGCAGTAACTACAGTTGATTAATTTTTGTAGAGTCATTAGGTTTGTCGAAGTAAAGATCATGAACAATGTGCAATACCCTCATTGAGATTCCAACGCCGGATCGTTCGACTTCCAACCGAACGTGCTTTCCAATCACCCCACGAAAGCACACTCTAATGATGGACGGAAGGATTTCACGTTAATTAAGACAAAGAACTCAAAAATATATATTGGATGTGAATATTGGAAGGCAGACCTGTATAGAGGATTGCTAATAAAAAAGAAGTAGTTTATATTTACATCACATATAGGAAAAGAAGCACAAACAAAAAAACAAAAAAAAAAAAAAAAAAAAAGATCACTCACCTAGCCTATTCTCTTGCTAGGAGCCATACCTGAGACGAATCACAGACGTTCTCTAGCTTCGAATTGGCTACTAAGCTGACATCCGCAAAAGTGAATTATGCTTTCGTTGAAAGATATAATAATTATCTGAGCATTAAGTCATCTAAATAGGAAATTTTCTTCTGATTTGGTAATTAATGCAGCTTATGTCTGTGTCACTTATCTCGCTTGTGTGACAGTAACATTAGAAAAGCCCACGAAATTCATCGTGGCAAGATTGCGCCTGTCGTTGGCAAGAACCTTGAACCCCAGACAGATGACAGTACCACTTCGCTCAGTTTCGCCTCCAATTCTGATGGAGACCTATCCGGAGATACCTGTTCGACAGTCTCTCAGCTCTCTTCCCCTTCCAGCAACCTCTCGAGAAGACTGCCGGTTCACCGTATATTTAGAGTACATCCATGCCACACGGACACTAAATATTTACAAACATCCATGCCGTCTCCGGGATTCGAACCTGGACCCTTCGTCACTACAGTAGACTCCCCTAGCCACTATATCCACTATACTTATGAAATTTTTGTTAAATGAGAACTATATAACTATAACTGGATTTATAAGTGTTTTCTTGTCGTCATATATTTAATATACATCTATTAAGCACTGACTAATTATGTACCTAATGTGTCTGTACTCAAAATATCTGTATATATATATATGAATTTATGTTCTGTATATATGATAATGTAACTATGCATCTGCACATTTTATCCTGTAACACGGCACCGTATCGCAAAGATCAAACTAGAGTCCCACTCTAAAATTAATTGCACCAATTATCTGTTCAGCATTGTATTAAGTACCTATTGTTAATGTATGTTAAAGTAGCACTTACTTAACGCTTGGGTACCCACTAATTACTGTGTACCTAATACACGCGCTTTAATATCTTTGTACATTGGTTAATCGTACCTAGGAAACAGTACAAATAATTCCAGTAGCAAGACTCTGTACCACGCAGTACTAATCTAGGGTCTAACTTTTAATTCACTGTACTAATTACTACTTATTCCTAGCATAACATTGCGCACCTAATATTTCAGTATGTAGTACATGTCTTGTGTATCTAATGATAATGCTTCAAAAGATCATAGTGTACTCAACATATGAGTACACACGTTATGTATATATGCTACCGTATACATGCTTTTGCATACACCTTGTAACATGGCAATGTATTATCCAGTGTCTAACATTAATTAGCTTTAACGCCACCAAAATTAAGTACCAAATTTGTATGCATGTTTATGTATTAGTGTATTAGCATAATGACCACGTATGGTTATCTAGATAAAGGTGGACGTGGCGCTATACCGATTAACCGTATTGGTAGAGGGGTGGTGCCCACGTTCTCCGTCGCATGTCGCATGTCGTCATATATTACCCGTGTTGTCAATAAAATTGGATTAAATATCTTGGATTGTATAGATCTCGTCTATACAATCCAAGATATTTCTGGATAATTCCAAGATATTTCGTCTGACAGGTAAGAAGCTTTGATTATTTTATCTATTTTGAATGCTGAATTATAATTCTAAAGCGAAAGCGATTATTAGATGTAATTGTAAGTTTTATCAGTCCAGAACTCGAACGCAAGGTAGAAACATAAAAATACAAGCATGCATTATCATAATACATGAAATATTCAGCAAGTCTTTTATTAATGCATTATTAGTGTCGCATATGGAAACTTATACTTATCTTTATCAAATTCCTAAGCTTTATATATTCCTCAATGCAAATATAAATGACACAAATGTACTCCTGAGTGAAATTACTTAATAACACAGGACCTCATTTCCACAAGGACAAATAGGGTATGTGTCCCGAGTGCATAGAAGAATTCCGTACCGTGTCTCGCGCGTAGGGAAAATCCATCCTTGTGATTGGACATACTTTCCAATGCAATCATTTTCTCTATTCTCGGGAACGCCTTGGAGTAATGACGTTTAGGCGGAATTCTTATGGTTTTGTTTCCGCTGAATGACTCGCATGAGTGACACTAACGCTTGAATATTAACGTTTATTACCGTATCAGCAATGGCGTAGTGGATAACGCTCAAAGCTAAAAATTCTCAGATTAACGCTTCAAGTCCTGTTAATAGTACTTTTATACTTTTCGTCCTTCTTCCATAAAAGGTCATTTTTGCATCACCCAGCTACTGTTCTGCCTCATTAAACAATAATTACATTTTTTTCCTGCATCTGTGTCCCTCGAATTAATGTTTTAAAATTCGAAATCTTTGAGGTTCTGACTCAAAACACGAGCTAAACTCAGCATACTGATTCAGGTATCTGAAGTTTCCTCCCATGTGCTATGGATCTAACATTTATCTCTAATCATGTATGTAGTAGTATTTAGAAGTACTTTATTTTATTTTCTCAGTTGTTTTGATTGTTTTTCACTGTTCTGCAACAGAGTTTAATTTATTCTACACCGTAATGTGGCTAGCGTAAATTTCAATATTGCCAACTCTAAGTGAAACAGAATACTTAATAATTGAAATTTAGAAAGAAGAACTTTTATGATAGAAAGCAAATATGGGATGATATATCAAACAAAAGTATATTAAGAAACAAATGTGAAATAAAGTTAATCCATTGATTATTATACGTTACAGACGGAATTATTCTCAAAATAGGATGGAAAGATGGGGAACAGAAGACTTTCACGTGACCTTTCACTTCGCAGAAAGTAATAACGCCCCTTTTGCCAGAGTCTATGTGTTTTGGCAGAATGCCAGCCAAGGTTGTGTTGGAGACGGTCGAACTATAGTAACCAACTTATCTTTTCACCTTCTGGACATTTTTCAAACATTTTGTGCGCCTTCATACTTCTTTAGAAGTTCGAACATTTTTGCACTTTTTATAAGTCAAAGCGAAGTTAATTTTGACATTTTCGAAAGGACTATTTCTTGATGAGTGCTGGATCTCGAGTTCGAGTACTCCGTTGTTGCACCATTATTACCGGCGTAAGTTTCTTACCTTGGGACATTATTGGTTTTTTTTAATTAATTAAATCTTCAGTTGGAAGAAAACAGTGTAACGCTATTTGAATTGCAAGATAAGATGGAAGCTGAAATGAAAAAATGTTTAGACCCTTCGAGCGGAAGTAGGAAATTATGCTTTTATGCACTAGCTAACTGAAGCGAAAATAAAATTACAGTATTAGCTACATAAGTGATAAAATTTCAGTTGCTATGAAGGAACATCTGATAGGATTGCAGACAAATCT